AGCTCTCTCCAGGTTGTGAGTGCCCTCAACCCTCAGAGCCATTCCAATGGTAATTTAGTCCTTTAAAATCAAAAGGTGAGAGGGGGGAGGCAGGGGAGAGGGAGGAGGAGAGAGAAGAGGGAGGGAGGAGGGGGGAGGAGAGGAAGAAAGAAGAGGGAGAAGGAGGAGACCGAGGAGGAGAGAGACAAGGAGGACGGGGAGAAAGGAGGAGGAAAGAAGGGGAGAGGGAGGAGGAGAGGGAGAAGGGAGGAGGATGTAGAAAGGGAAGAGGTGGGAGCCGGGAGGGAAAATGCAACAGCAGTCCAGGAACCTGGGAAGGAGACTCTGCCACCCAAATCAAAATGACCTGAGGGTGAGAATAAGTGGTGTCAAGGGGTGAATTTTCACAAAATAAGACCCACCGGATGCCAATGTAAACACAGAAAGACAACCATCAACAAAGAACTGCAGGGGACCTAGAGACCGGAAGTCACGGCTTCACACCTACCCAGTGGCTTACACATTCACGCAGGAATCCTTGCTAGACAGAAATGCTTACCACACAGCCATCTCCCGGGAAATACTTTGCGATGCCCTTGGCCCTTGGAGACAGTCGAGCATGGGGCTTGGAGAGGCAGCTGGGTGGTTAAGAGCACTGACTGCTGTTCCAAAGGACCCAGGTTCAGTTCTCGGCACCCACATGGTGGTTCATGGACCATGACCCCGGAAGGTCCGATGCCCTCTCTGGCTTCCGTGGGCACCTGCGTTCCTGTGGCTCATTGACCGTACACTCACACGTATATGCATGCATAAAAAAATAAATAAAAAATAAATCTTAAAAAGAAAGAAAGAAAAACTGAATTTCCAAGAGGAGTCCCAAGTGGCTAACTGGGCCTAGGTTCAACATGGAGCCTGGTGGCCATTTGATGCCTGGTGGGGTCACGTCTCTGCTCCGTATTCCTGGAATAACCACAAGTTGAGCCCTTGCAGTCGTTGCCTGGGTACGTTCCTGTCTCAGCTGCCAAGATAAACAGGCTCTGGAAAGTTCTATTTTGTCATGAGGACCTGACCTGTTATGACCTGCAGCCAGCCAATCAGGACTGACTATCTGCTACTTGTTGACACCCCTCATTTACATAGCTGACCCGTGCCAGGACTACAGCAGCCCGCTCCTCTTTGTTCCTACAGACTACTCTTGTTTTCTTTGGGAGATGGCTACCCCTGATTTGTAGACTATTTCTCAAAACTCCCCTCCTTCCCTTTGTTTGTGCGCGTGTCCATGTGTTAAGTGCGTCTGGTACACTCGATGCTTAGGACCAACCATACAGAACTCGGGCTCTAGTGGACCTGGCGCTCTCTTCGCGTTTCTGAGGACACCGGGCGCTCATGCACTGCACGTACATACAGGAACGCAACTACTCATCTAAAAATAAACAAATCTTTTTTTTTAAGAGTCCGGGTATTAAACACAAAAGCTGAAAGTGACCAGGATTTTAAACAAGAGAACTGAGATGGATGAGTTCTGAGGGATGACGCCAAGGTTGTACCCACACACACAAACACACAGACACACACAAACACACAGACACACACAAACACACAGACACACACAAACACACAGACACACACACACAAACACACACTCACACTGCTGTCTAAGGGGCCAGCCTCCAGCAGCACAGGGCTTTGAAAGGAATCTATGGAGTCCCTGTAAGCTAGGACTTTTCTATCTGAAGGGGTTTGGGGAAAAAGACACTAACACTCTCTTGATGACTTTTTTCTTTATTCTCTGTTCTTTCTTACTATATACTTTTATACCCCAGCAAAGGTTTTCAGGCAATATAGAAATTACAATCTGGTTTCTTTCTGTTTTTTTTTTCCTTTTTTTTTTTTTTAAAGATTTATTTATTATGTATGCCTGCAGGCCAGAAGAGGGCACCAGATCTCATTATAGCTGGCTGTGAGGCACCATGTGGTTTCTGGGACTTGAACTCAGGACCTCTGGAAGAGCTGCCAGTGCTCCTGACCTCTGAGCCGTCTCTCCAGGCCCTCCATTCTGTTTTTCAGGTCAATGATTACAAGGAATACAAAACAAACAGTAAAAACACCGTGTTTTCCATCTCCCTCACATGGTTAAGCCTTTTACATATTACAGGTGAAAATCAAATTGCCCCAAGAACCCACGGCCATTCATACCAAGCAACTTGTTGCAGATTAACAGTGTTGGCAAGCAAGGAATTATTCTCAGGTCTTTACTGGCAGGCTGGATTTTGTAGTTATAAAGAAAGGACTAATTATTTATTACTTATCTTGAAAGGTAATCTTATAAGGAATCTTAAAGGAACCACAAACGTAAACCTTAATATGTGAAAAAGAACCAGTTAGCCGTACTTTAAATCTTTAGGGGCCCATATTCATCCATTAACGGCTTTTATATATCAGGAGATTGAGGGCAGAATGGTATAAGGAATTAATCATCACCTTTGGTCAGCACCAAATCTAGCAAGAAAGGCTCAGCCGATGATAAATGGGCTGCTTTGTTCTTGTTCCCTGACCTTAACGAGTTCGGCTTTCAACGACGTGCTTTTCCACTCTAGATTGTCTTTTTGGTTTCATTTTTCACCTCAAAGCTATTTAACAAAAGCATCTTAGTCTGACTTCATTATTTTCAAAGCTTTGTTTCAGCTGCGATGCACTCAGACCTGTGAACACATCTCCCAACGTTAAGGTTAAAAGAATTTAAATAAGCTGGGGACTACTGGGGGACTCAATTGTTAATCATTAATTTGAGCTACAATCCATGCAGCTCCTTAGGTGAAACTCACAGGCTCTGGCAGTGAAACAAATCTTGTATTTATTTTCATTCATCAAAATTCTGTATAAGCTACCATTATTATTATCAGTTAGACAGTTCAGCTTGGAGAAGAATCGCCTTCTTGAAAATCCACAGATAAAAATACCCAGTAGAGTGTGATGTATCCAAGAGATAAACACTCAACATTACAGGCAGTAGAGATCGACCCCACATCCACTCAGGCCGTGCTGGATACGGGAGACAAGGCAGTGATATGCGTGTGAAGGCATAGATAGCCAAAGCAAAGGACGTTCTGGGGTCTGGGGTCCTGTGAACTTGCCTAAACGAGATTCACCCACCAGAGAGTTTCCTCCTGGTGGGCTGACACCTTGAACCTCAATTGATACCTGCTGTTCCTCTGACATGGCCACACACACACACGCGCGCACACACACACACGCGCGCACACACACACACGCGCACGCGCGCACACACACACACAATTCATACACACTAAATTGGTAGGAGGGTAATCAAACACATTTTTAAAACCCACCAATTTTTTTAAAGGGTTCATCGTCACTGACAAACTGCTTTTTGGACATCAGTTTAAGTTACCTATCAGACAGCTCAGGCATATTGAATTTAATCTTTGGAGAACCAGAGGGGAGGGCAGAAACAAATCCAGCAGGACCTTAAGTTTTGCACCATTTTTGGTCCCTTTTCACATCATGCTAGCACTGGAACACACTTGACTCCTGCCTCGGAAACAGTTCAGATTGGCACCAGTCGGCTGAATGAATCTCACCAGCTGCCTGCCCGCGGAGTCCAGGTAAGATTCTTCAGTGCAGAATCTCAGATGCCCTAAATAAATACTTTGATGGTTTAAGTGGCGTCCAGAGACTGCTAATGTCTCTAGAGAACTGACAGAGAGAGATGCGACTCCACTCAGTCACCCTCAGCAGCCTGAGCTCTCTTAGACCTGTGGCTCTCAACCTGTGGGTCACAACCCCCTTGACAAACCTCTCTCTCCAAAAGTGTTTACATTACAATCCCTAACAGTAGCAAAATCACCTAAGCTAGGTTGAGTTGACCTGGGGCCGACTTGGACTTGGGACCAACTTGGGCAAAGGACTTTCCTGCACCTGTGTAGTCTTCTCTCCTCTTCGGTGAATGTGGACACCACCCCCGCAGAGCTGTGGTGACAGGGCAGCAGGGGCAGCAACTGTCGCTCTGCAAACCTGAGAAGTGGCGGGGGTGGTTGCCGCAGCACCCTCTCCCAAAACCACCTGCTAGTCGGAGAGCTGTCCAGAACAGGACACAGGGAAAGGAGCGACCCCGGGCAGATGCACCCTTCAGGCATCCTCTTTGGAGGCTACCTCGGTGTGGGGTTAAGCCAGCCCCCCTTAGGGGGCGTGCTTACCTCGCGCGAAGGTTTACTTATAAATCGGGCACGCCCATTCCGGCTTCCTGTCCTCCGCGGAACGGTGTTTCTGTGAGTCTAATTTCCCCATTAAAGCTGTGTATAGATTCTTTACAATCTGTCTGCATTAATTTATGCCGTTACACCTCGGGGCAATGCTGCCTGTCCTGCCCAGCTGCATCTCGGGCAGCCCTCGCTGCTTGCATTGCTCTAGGCCACTTCGTTCTGCCCAGCCCTGCACCCGGTTGTACTTTGGAGCCCTGGGCTCTGCTCTGCAGAAGCGCTGACAGAGAAATTACTCCATGAGGCTCTATCCATTAAAAACTTTCCCCAAGTCACACTTGTCATGTGAGTCCTCTTCCCTCCACAAGGAGAAGCAATGAGTGTCCACTGGAGACGCTACTGCCCTATCTAAGCAAATCCCAGACCTTTTGGTACCCTACTGGGCATTAAGTCTAAAAGAACGTTGTATTGTTTGTGGATATTTTGTTTGCTAGTTTGTTTTGTTTGTGTTTTCATTTCATTTTGTTTTGTCCAATTCACTACCGAGAGCCCCAATTAGTGTTATTTTAGGTCCCAGAGCCAAAAATCTTGAAAACAGAATTTGAAAAGTAACCTGAAATGAACTGTTGGTGTCTATGTGTGTGCTTTGAGCTAGTAATGACTTCCCAGAGGACTCCCAGCCCTCGGGCTCATCACAGCTGTTCCTTGGGACAGCTTGAGTCCTGGGAGATGGGTGGGGACAGCTGTGGAACCCTGACACCCTGTGGTGTACGATCCAGGAGACTCCTGAAGCCGAGCTGCTCAGTTCTTCTCTTCCGGGAGCTCTGGGCGCTGGTACAGCCAGATGATGCCTTCATCATGCAGCCGCTTCCAGACTGTCTTCTCTAAGTTGAAGTCATGGTTTATGTAAAAGATCAGCCGTTTCCACGACTTATCATAGTAGTGGTCAGAGAAGCGCTCATGGCCCTGGGTGATGAAGCCATAGGCACTCACCTGCATAGAGAATGGGAGAGGAGCTGGAACAGCTCTGGCGGTGTCCTGGGGCTTCCCTCATGGGAAGTCTGACCCTTTCTCCTTTATCAGGGTTCTGTGCCCAGGGGTCTGCATGCAGGTTCCCCGGGGACACATGCATGCTCATCCCACTCCCCATTCCCATTGGAGGTTTTCAGCCACCCCCTGAGCTGAGCTCCACAGCCTCACCTTGTCACAGAGATGAAGGGCCGTCAGCAGCAAGAGGGCACCAGTGGTGGGGCGGTATATTCTCCAGTGGGCAGTGTTTAGGGTCTTTGACCTCAGAAACCTGCTCAAAATTTTTTTTTCTCTCTGTCAGGAGACAGCGAGGATGAGAGGTCACAGCCCCTCCGTGGGCTTTCAGTCCTCACCTGTTCTTCATGTAACGGATAAAGTCTGGGTGCAGCAATAGGTATCTGTCCATGTCCAAGGCGTCCCGGAAAGCTTCCTGGGGCCTGTGCCTGTATCAGGGAAGGATCACTCAGGACCTGTTCTCTTACCCGGCCTTTTGGGGCCAAGACAGGGTCATGGTGTGACCGCTATCCCATCTCCAGGTGGCACAGAGACAGTCTTTTGAAGTCAGCCACTGACTTCTCAGTCTGGCCTGGGCTTTGGGTCAGGAAGGTAAGAGGTACCTGAACCAGTGAAGTTTGGTTTTTGCCATGGTCTGGTTCAAAAACATCGCTTCTAGCCACTCGTAGTCCCGAGTGCCCTCCAGGAAGTGTAGGTACCTGACATCCTGAAGACCAAGGACAGCAAGTGGTTCTGCTGTACTGTTTTGGGGACCATGGGCTGGGGGTGGCCCCACTTGGTTCCAGACTGTCCCCTGGCTGTGCCATGGCCTGAGTGACTGGTCCCACTGCTCTTGCCCTCATATGAGCAGAGCGTAGGACGACCCAGGCTCCATCCACACACAAGGTATTCATCTCTCTGTCAGTCCCTCGTCAGGAGGCTGTGTGGCCACGCCCATTCCTCTCTTCTCACCTTTCCCAGAGGCACATGCTGGAAACCCCGACTGCCCAGTATGAGGATTGACTGGACCAGGGAGAAGGCAGTGAAGCCGTAGAAGGACGTCCGGGTCCCCACATCCTGTTCATAGCCTTTAATAACGGCTCCACTCAGTCTATATGGAAAGACCAAAGTGGATGGCAGGGGTGGAGGGGAGAAAATGGTGGAGGTGTGAGAGGGGATGGGGCAGAAAGGCGGGGTCTGGAGACACTCCACTTTCTAAATAAAAGCATTGGGACACTTGTCTGCTTTCCCATAATAGTCCATGTCAACAGGCACGAGGCTGGAGGTGGAGAACATACCGGAAAACATAGTCATGGCTGTCTATCTCCTGGCCCACGTGCGAATCGTTCAGGATGCCCCCGTTGCCCACCACGGCACAGGTGATACACCTGGAGCTCCCCGAGGGGAGGCTGGCCAGGAGCAGCTGCTGCTGGGGTACCGGAGGGAAGCGGGTCACCACCTTCTGGACCACTGGAAGAGAGCAGAGCTCCATTCAGAGTCCCAGAAGGAAGCAGACCCCAGACAGGAGCCGGCCACCCTCTGCCCTGAAGTGAGGACTCACAGGACTGATTGAGCTCCATGAAGCCAAAGGGCGGTGCAAAGTGCTCTAGACGGTCCCACTCGCTCTGGGTGAAGTGGGCACCGTCCAGGAAGAGAGTGAGGTTGGGCAGAAAGATATTCTTTAGCCACGGTGACTTGGAGGCCCTGATCTTCAGAGAGTCTGGGCATGTCTATGTGCGGGAGGATGTGTCAGGCAAGGGAGGGGCACAGAAAATTCATCAGCCAGAGGCTGGACTGGGCATTACAGTCCTGCCCATCCTTCCTCTTTCACTCTGAACCCCGTGTCTGGCTGTCTAACTCTCCAAGTCTCGGTCCCCTTTGGGCCCGGAATACAGGCCCACTGAGCCCCTAGCCAGCTACACCTTGGCAAGTCTGAGGACGCACATGGTATGCCCACTGTACTGTTGGGACAATGATCCTGTTCTGTGTGTATCCACAAACAGGTTTTCCATATTGCCCTCCTGGGCCGGGGGGAGAAAGTTTAGGGAGGTGACATGGGGTTGAGTGCCCACAGTTTTTCTTGAGCCTGGAGGAGAGTGAAGGTTCTAGAGTCAGCTTTCCAGAGACAGCTGTGTTCCTCAGGGGGGGGGCAGCAGCTGGGCACAAGTCTGTCTTCTTGTCCGTTAGTCCCATAACCATAGAATAAGGATTCTTGTCCAAAGGCCAGAACTGGCCACACTCTGTCCCCACAGACTGCTGATCTGCCCCAGGCCTTCTTCAAGGCTTCCAAGGCAAACAAACCCTTTTCACCCACCCCCTGCTGACTGGTCCAGACCTTGTATGGAATTGCCTTCTCCTCCCTGATTGGCTGTCATAAGAAGGATGGTCCAACTAAGCAGTGCTGGGCTTAGCTCAGGGTGGGCCAAGGTAAAACTGACAGCTGAGCCTAGAGGAAGGAGCTGGTTGGGATGGGGGCGGGGTGTGGAAGTTGAGGAAGTGAGGAGGTCCCAACTCACCGGTTGCAGGCCCCCCACATCCAAATTGTATTCTTCCTCAAAATCCCACCGAGGCTCAGACTTGAAGTCAGAGGCTTTCAGCCTTTGACTTCTTTTGGTGGTGGGTCGTGGGAAAGAGGCCGGGGATGGGTTGACCTGGGCCGCCTTCTCCTTGGCTGGAACAGCTGCTGTGGCCCTTGGTCTCTTCCTCTGCTTTGTCAACACTGTTTCTGTAGTTGCCAATATTTTGTCCCAACTTTCTGGAACAGGAGTCTTTGCCCCAGGCTCTTCCTCGCTCTGATCCTTCTTCTCCTCCCCCTCTCCTGTGGCTGCCACACTGTTCTGATTCTTCAGGCCCAGATCTCCTGTCTTGACAGAGGTCATCTCCTTATCTTGAGGTCTTGTACACTGACTCCTGGACACAGATAACTCTTGATGAAGGTTGGATGTTATACAAACTGACCAGAAACATCCCCAGCAGGCAGAGAGACGGCTCAGTGAGGAAGAGAGCTTACTGTGCAATTGTGAGCGCCTGAGTTTGTCTCCTCAGCACCCATGTTAATAAAACAAAAGAGCAGCAGTGAGGAAAGCCGTGCATGTGCCTGTAACCAGCACTGGCTTCCTTTATTACTCTCCTCCTTAGCTTTTGAGACAGAGTTTCTCCCTGAAACTGATACCCTCTGACTCAGCTGGATATGGGAACAACCAATCCCCAGGACTCCTCTGGGATTGCAGGCTGGTGCCTGTGGTTGCTAGAACCTGAACTCAGGATGCTTATGTGGCAATCACCTTACCATCTGAGTCATCTCCCCAGGTTCTGATTTCTACTCTTATGCAAGCCTGTTGAGCATCTCTGATGGTTTGAATGAGAATGGCTCCCAAAGGCTCTTATGTGTGCATGCTCGGTTCCCATTCAGTGAAACTGTTTGGGAAGGATTAGTTCTGAGAGCTGAGAGTAGACAGCTGGTGGCCGCTAGTGTTCAGCAGGCTGACCCACCAGACAAAAGGCTCTCTGGTAAGGTTGTGGAGTTACTGACTGACTGTAAATAGCCAGTTGCTTCTCTCTGCAATTTCTCTCATGTGCCACTTCTTCCCTAAGAACTGTGCTTCTTTACTAAGAACTGCATTTCTTCCCTAAGAACTGCTATGGGTGTTGTTTTTTTTTCCCCCTTTTCTGTGTGTTTATCTCGTGAAAACATTCCATCTTCTGGGCACACATATAGCTGTGGATGGTCAGGAACATGATTCCTGCCTAATTGTATTGTTCTGACGAATAGAAATAATACTAGGATATTTTTCACTGCTCAGACTGGAATAAGAAAGTAATAGCATTCTCAGTCACAGAGACAGATTATTTTAGACTTAGGAACAAATTCAAAGCAAACTGGTTGCCCCTGGAGACGAATACACATGGACAAATTCCCAGGTGTTTATTGCTGATTCAAGGTCAGGCATGAAGCATCTTTGGTAGACTTGACCCTCTATGGTAATTGACTTTCTGCACATAACCCGACCTCAAGATTCAGCCAGCTGTTTATTGTTTAAGTCCTGAGTTTCAGTGTCACTTTCTGTCTGGGAACCCAGAGAACCCTAACAGCTTAGGCTACACACACAATCAAGCGTCACTCATTGGCCAGTCCATGTGACCTCCCTGATTTTAGAGAAACTATGCGACTTATCTTGTGTTATGGGAAAGGGTCTGGCCATGAACATGTAGCGTATGATTGTTCAGATTTTGGCTGTGAAAGAAGGCTGCTGTGGAGAGCTGTGCAGAGAGCTGCCCTGTGTGCAGAGTATGAGTGAGTGAGTGTGTGTGTGTGTGTGTGTGTGTGTGTGTGTGCTAGGTGAGAGAGAGAAGTAAGAGATGAAGAAACATGAGAGAAATGAGAGAGAGTGAGCAAGTAAAGAGTGAGCGATGTGGAAGTGTGAGTGTGTGTGTGTGTGAGTGTGTGTGTGTGCCAAGTGTGAGAGAGAGAAGTCTAAGAGATGAAGAAGCATGAGCGAAATGAGAGAGAGTGAGCGAGGAAAGAGTGAGTGACACAGGAGAAGTGTGTGTATGTGAGAGAGAGTGTGTATGAGTGTGTGTGTGTGTGTATGTGTGTGTGAGTGTGTGTGTGTGTGCCAGGTGAGAGAGAGAGAGAGAATTCTAAGGATGAGGAAGCATGAGAGAAGTGAGAGTGAGTGAACAAGGAAAGACTGAGTGACATAGGAGAAGTGTGTGTGTGTGTAAGTGTGAGTAAGAGGAGCTGTTGAAGGAACTCTGTAAAGTGCTGTGTGATGAACGAGCTATGTAAACAAAATGTATAACTGTGACTATGTGGAGATATTGTAGCTGTGTCGAGACACATTCTCAGAGAGCATTTTAAAGGTGAAGTAAAAGAGAAAGCTACCATCAGAAAGCATGTGTGCTTCCTTATTTTTCCCTCTCAGAAAAAGTCTAGTCCTCAGATAGATAAGAATTGTTCCTAAGCCCTTGGTATCTGAGACATTTCTTTTTGCTCCCCTGGAACTGTCGTGGGAGCTGGCCTTCCCTGGGCTGCTGTAGATTAGGAGGTGGGGCCTTGTTGGACAACGTGTCACTGGAGATAGATTTGAAGTTTCAAAACCTAAGCCTGGCCCAGTGTCTCTCGCGCGCTCTCTCTCTGCCTACAGATCAGAATGTATAGCTCTCAGCCCCACACCCGTCTGTCTGCCTGTTGCCACACTCCCTGCAATGATGATGATGATGGACTAAGCCTCTGCAGCTGTAAGCCAGCCCCAATTAAATGTTTTCTTCTGTGAGTTGCCTTGGTCATGGTGTCTCTTCACAGCAATGGAATAGTAACTGAAACAGCAGCCTTCCATTGTGTAGCTGACATTAGCTGTCCTGTAAGACAGAGAAAGCTCTGCCTCTAACCAGGTTTTCACCAGAAACAAATATCTGAAGCCCCATTTCTTCAGCATGTTTTCTGAGACAAGGTTTCTTTGTGTACCCCTGGGTGCCCTGGAACTGGCTCTGTAAACCAGGGTGGCCTTGAACTCAGAGATCTGCCTGCCTCTGCCTCCTGAGTGCTAGGATTAAAGGTGTACGCCATCACTGGCTGGCTTATTCATGTTAATGCTCATCTTTTCTATTCCTGGCCTCAGCACTTAGGAAGCTAATTCAGGAAGATCAAGAGGTCAAAGCCAGGGGCTGGAGAGATGATGGCTCAGAGGTTAAGAGCACTAGCTGCTCTTCCAGGGGACCCAGGTTCAATTTCCAGCACCCACATGGTAGCTCACAACAATCTACAATGAGATCTGATGCCCTCTTCTTGTCTGCAGGCACACATGCAGGCAGAATACTGTATACATAATAAATAAATAAATACATACATACATACATACATTTTTTTAAAAAAAAAAAAAAGAGTTCAAAGTCATGGTGAGTTCTAGGCGATCCTGGGCTATGTTCAGATCCTACTTAAAACAAACAATGAATTCCACTGTAAGAAACCAATTTGGTATCAAATTGTTTTCAAATGTTAAGAGGAGCAAAACCAGCAGGCGGTGGTGGCAGATACCTTTAATCCCAGTACGCAGGAGGCAGAGGCCAGCCTGGTCTACAGAGCAAGTTCCAGGACAGCCAGGGCTACAAGTTGAAACCCTGTCTCAAAAACAAACAAACAAACAGAGTGGTAATACCAGAAAAGCTTTTTCACTGAGCCTGAGAAGAGAGTCTTACTGTGAGAGACGTGTTTAATGTTCTAGAAGTTCTTGTGGAGGTCTTCAATTGGGGCACAGATTTGACAGGTCCCCCTCATCCCACCAATAGGAGGTCTTACACTCTACTGCCTCCCTCTCAGGATGAGAATGCCTCTGAGACACGGGACATACACAGACTAAGTCTTTGCTGCGGGTCAAGGAGAACGGCCTTGAGAGCAGGTCCTTCTCCAGCTGCCCTTTTTCTCACCAGCCTTGGGGACAACCTGTCTCGTACTGTGTGTGCCGTCTGCAGATGCAGTACCTGAGTTCCCAGCTCCTGCCTGCCTTCTCCTACAACCCTCCTGGTATCCGGGCACCTTTGGTCACCACCGTCACCTCCATTTTCATCTCTTTCAGGTTCTGACACTGGCTTTCCTTCTAGAGGTACTTCAAACAACTACTGACATTAGCACCCCATGTGGATCTATAGGTGACTTGGAGGTCCCCAGGCCTTTGCTTTTTCTGGGACTCACAGGGTTGGCTCCTTACCTGGAAGGCTTCATGCTGGAGTCCTTAATGAAGGAGGGCAGAATAAAGAGCAAGGTTAGCACAGCCAAAATCAGGACACCCTGAGTCCAACGTGTACTCCTACAACAGTTTGTCATGGTGCATTGGCTGGTTCCAAGAAGCATGTCCTGGGGCTTGCTGTAGAAATCTGATTGTCCCCTTGCTCCGGTGTGCTGACCAGGAAGAGCAGTACTTCAGCTTTACGCTGAGGTGCTCTGGAGATCAGGAGAGAGAGAGGAAGGGTGGAGTATGCTTTAAGCTGGCATGGATTGGAGGAAGAGAATCTCCTGTTCAAACAACACTATTTTTCTTTTAGTCTCTGAAGCCAAATTCTGCAGAATTATATGAAACCATGTATCCATCATAAACAGTATCGCTTTTATCTGGTCATTTCCTCTCCCAGCCTCATCTATAAATGAGAGAAGCAGTGGCGTCCACGCTCAGGTGCTCACAGTAGAGACTCCACACACGGTCACCATCGCGGGTCAACTTTTGTAGCTTCTCTGAAATTGTGACTGGAGCAGCACCAGCAAGCAGCATGTCTGAGATTGCTTGCATCCTGGGACCATGGAAGGCTTCACAAAAAAGCATCCAGGGCTGGGGAGAAGGTTTGGTGGTTGAGAGAACAGGCTGCTCTTGCAGAAGATCCAGGTTCAGTTCCCAGTACCCAGATGGTGACTCACAACCATCTGTAACTCCAGCTCCAGGGGGACTGCTGCCCTCTTCTGGCCTCCATGGGCTCCTGCATGCTTGAGCACAGACATACTCTTAGGTGGGCACACATAATATATGTTTAAATAAGAGAGCTCTAAGCCTAATACAAAAGTATATACAATAAGAACAAATATCAAGAAGAAAAATTAGAATTATAACCAGCATAAACAATATCAAGCAAGAAACATAGGATAAATGTTTCAGTAATTATCCTAGCCTAAGGAGTCTAAGTCTTGTATTAGAAATAACTTGGCCACAGGGGCAGGGTGGCAAAAAAAAAAAAAAAAAAGAAAAGAAATAACTTGGCCAAATCACGAGAAGAAAGTAACTGTGACTATGTAATCTTCAACCCCCACTGAAGGCCTGAAAAGGGAGATAAAATTACTTGAGTAAACAGGAAGTGCAATCAAGCAAAACATGCAGTAAGTGGCAGAAAACTG